CTCATCACGTAACTCCCTTGACTCATCCCGTGGAGGTGGAGAACAGGGAGATAGAAGTCGTGGCATCTTTGTCGGTCGCCTATCATGAGGTGATGGTGGAGAAGAGACTCGATGATGTGACGGGATAGGTGATGGCTCTCGTTGTAGAGGTGTATAGTCGGGTCGATCAGGTGATGGCTCTGGGTGAGATGGCTCTCGAAGTGGAGGAAGTGGGCTGCTCATCATTCGTGCCATCAAAAAAACGCTGACTAGCTTGCCACAATCAGTGGCAAGCTCAGCCTCCGTGGTGTCAGTCTCATTAATGGAGTGTTGGCCTCCTAATATATAAAACTAAAACAAAGTTAAACGTCTACTATTAATAACTTGTTTATATATGAGTATTTGTGTTAACTTACATTATTTATTGTCGCATATGGTATTAAGTCTTCCCAATCCAACATACGTTTCCTCTTCCAGGAAATAGCCCTAGGAATATCATCTGAGGATTTTAATGCATATGTCCGCATGGGGAAAGCCTCGAATATCCAAATCTACAAACAATATAATAACAAACATTAGTAATTGTTAAATAATTAATTATAATTTTGAAAACATTATATAGAAATTCTTACCTTAAAGCCCAAACAAAGCCTGACAAAGTGTATTTCGACCCATCGCCCCGCAAACTTTTGCGGTCATCAAAGGCAGACGACAACTTAGTCCAGGTAGCTTTCCATATATACGAACCCCACGGAAATAGATTCCATGCATTTAGGTCCTCTACCAATAATATTAGCTCCTGAGGAATAGGTTGTCTGGCCTCTCTGCCTAGAAAGCCGGCATACAAAAGTAGTAGGCATACTCGGACAACATCGACGTCATTCATCCGAGTAAAACCATCTTTCTTATTAAACAATTTCTTCATGTCGTCGACGTGTAAGTTCGGCTTCTCTATTGACTCATCAGGAAAAACCCTGGATAACCATGATGGGCGGGTGATATGACGAGTGTACCGGCCTACATCATCGTGTCCGAATCGTAGACCAGTGATTAAGCAAACTCCTTCCGCCCAAAACAAGTATACGCCGGTGGAAATGAAACCATATCTTCCTCACCACGTTGTATACTGTCAGGTAGATCGCTAGTCATGGTCTGAAGCCACAAATGGGTCAAACTAGCATCTCACCCGGATGCTGTACTCTCAGCCATGGCCCGAAGCAGGTTTCTTCAAACAATTTTCTTTGTGCAGGTGAAAGCTTCGAAGCAATTGTAGTGGCTAGGCTAACTTTATTCCTTAATGTCATGAAGCCGAAAAAAATTTCTACAAAAAAACAATAAACATACCAAGTTAGATATACCAAAAATTACACGTCAAGATATACCAAAAACAAAACAATAACATAAATAGTAGTTTATTCTTGAAACTAAAATTTGCAACACTGTTTTGTCTTTTGGTTGAAATGAAATCGCAACGAGATAATGAATTGCAACGCGGAAATGACTATCGCAATGAGAGAATCGCAACGCGAAATGACTATCGCGACGAGAGAATCGCAACGCGAAATGAAAATCGCAACGCGAATGAAAATCGCACGCGAAATGAAAATCGCAATGCGATTTTGGTTTCGCGTTGCGATTTTTATTTCGCGTTGCGATAGTTATTTCCGCTTTGCGATTTTCATTCTCGAAACTATTCTTCTTCTGCATTACTTCAACCAAAAGACAAAACAAAGACAAATACTAACTTCACAGGCTAAACAGTTTAGCAGTATTGGCAGCAATCGAATGAATTTAATAAAAATCTAAGTGAAATGGTTAATCTATTATTGAAATTACCAGTAAACTTATCATCAATCTCAATATGAAAAACCTAAAATAATGCAAAAATTTCAAATAAAAAAAAAAAACTACCCTCGGAGGTTGATTTTCCATTTCTGAATGATTGTGAGGGATTTTTGACTGTGAATGGTTGTGAGGGATTTCGCGGCGATGGGGACGGAAATCTTCGGAGATGGGGACGAATTTCGCCGTAGAGAGTGAAAGATGGAGATGGACTGAGTGTTGTGTTTGGGTTTGAGGTTATGAGTTGCGTGCGATTACTGTTGACGGTTCATTTTCCGATTTATTAAGAAAAAATACGTTTGGAATTTGAAAAAAAAATACGCGTTAATACGAATGGCGCTAAGTAAATCGCGTTGCGAAAGTCAGTATCGCGTTGCGAAAGTAAGTATCTCGTTGCGATTTTTTATTATCGCATTGCGATAGTCAGTATCGCATTGCGATTTTCTCAATTCGCGTTGCGATTTACTTATTCGCATTGCGAATTTCCCAATTCGCGTTGCGATTTACTTATTCGCATTGCGAATTGGGAAAATCGCAACGATACTGTAGACCATCGCAACGCGATTTTCAACTATCGCATTGCGAAAATGCAACGCGTATTTGCGATAATGGAGATCGCGTTGCGAATTAGCGATCGCATTGCGATTTTTGTTGGTCATTTTGGCAAATCCGGAAAAAGTTGGTTAAAATCGTATATTATATGGGATTTTTGGTCACTGAAGTTATTTTCTCATAATATAATATCTTCATGAAGAAGTCCGAACTATACGACGTCTTCTTCCTAAATACATGTATGTCTGAAAATCTTTATGCATGGTCATTTTCCTCTACGTCACTCGACAACAACAATAAAACTCAATTCTCATATGTATGGGATAAGGGGGGGTAGGGTAGTAGGCTGCCCCCAACGCCAGGTTGAGAATAGCTTCCGTGAAAGACCTCCGACAGTCAGAAAATTAAAAATATAGATAGAATGCAATGCATGTATAAATAATTACATAAATACATAGCTAAACAGTATTCATATGCAGTCATTAATATCATATGTGCTTCTGTAATGTGGAGTAATCCCTGCAAAATAATCCCTGCGAAAGAATCTCTGCATATAGACAGAAACATAAGACCGGCTAAATTTAACAGAGGAAACATGACGAGAATTATATTCCGTAATTCACGCGTCTTCACGAAGACTACCTTTACTCTATGTGTTTTCTCCATGTTCAAAGCACCTTACTTGAGCTGCAATAGGTGGAAAAAAATTATTTTAAGACAATTTTAAATTTAAATTATACATATATTTATTTAAATATTATTTGATAATATTTAGATAATTATAAATTTTTAAATTGATAATTTTAAATAAGATAAATAATATCAATATAACTTGGTAAACATTGTTTTCATCTTCGGTATATATTGAGAGTGAAATATTATTTAATATATGATAAATAAAGTTCCAAACTTAATACATTTTCTTTTATCAAAATAAATAACCTATATCTTCCATTTGGTAGTCGTGGAAATAAAGAATAAATTAAAACTTATTTTACGATTTTATTTACATACAAATACATTAATTTTAATAAATTCATAAGTACATAAATTACATGTTTATAAAATTACTTTATGAAAATTATTTCTGTGTATTTTATGTATTTTGTTGTTTTATATTGGGGAAGTATACTTAAGGGTGAATATTTGATTGAATTGAATAAAATGAGTTAGTTGAATGGATGAGTCTTATTTTAGGATTAAACTTTATTTAATTTTTTTATTTGAGTAGGGTTATGAAATTTGAGTTTTTATTTAAATTTAATTATAAATATTTTAATTTTATGATGTAGATTAGTTCAATTTAATGGTTTTTTATAATCATATATATATATATATATATATATATATATATATATTAAATTATAATATTATTTAATAAATCAAATATAATATAAAATTATAAAATATATTTATAATTTTATTTTTTTAAAGAAGGTATTTTCAGGAAAAATATTGATGAGAGTATAAAATAATTAAGGAATTGATGGGAAAAAAATTAAATAAAATATAAAATTTAGGGAATAAATTATAAAAAAGTAATTTCATTGTTAAAAAATAGGAATTGAAGTTACATAGCCATTCCATGATGTTAGGGGAGCATGCGATTCAAATTTAATAAGAAATAGACTTAAAAGGACAAAGGAATTATTAACAAATAGTTGAGTTAATTCGAGTTATCAAGTCATATTTTATCATCTAAACTTTATAAGATTTTTTTAATCGAGTTGAATGGAAAAAATTTAAATAAGTCGATTTTTTGAATCAAATTGAATTTTGCTCACTCCTAAATTTACTAGAGTCAGTGCATACCTAATACTCAATTGAGATTTACATATAAATTTACATATTGACCACAATAGTAACGGTAGTAGGATTCAAACTTGGACTTACAAGTTCAAATTCTTAAATCCCAAACACTTGTACCAACACTCATCGACAATATTTAACTTCTTTTATATAGAACCCCCAGTGACATTCCATAGATACTTTATTTTAGACATAAGTTGTGAATGATTTTAATGACATTTTTATAAAAAAAATCGGGACTACTTAAATTTTTGAAGTAGTTTAATGAGAAATTTTAATAATTTTAAGATTGTTTATTTAAAAATATTTAAAATTTTTAAAGCTTAATGATTTTTTTAAAATAAAACAAAATTTTCATATCTTTAGGGGCCAACCCCGAAGAAACTCCAAGTAAAACCAGGTCAAAAAAGGAGAGAAGTTAGTTATAATGCCGTGGAAATTATTGGGCGAGAAAAGTATTTTAATTATTTATTAGAGTAAAAGAATCCACTAAACTTCTGCTACATATAATTTAAGGTAAATGAATAAGGATTTATTTGAGTTAATTAATGAATAAGGATATATAATCGAAAGTTCAATGAGTAATGAATAAAATAGGAGTGAGAGAAAGTTGACTGATGAAATTTGTAATTTACCCAAATATATTTAAAAAATTTAATAGGAGGAGTGATTGAAATAAAAATGGAATATAACGCGAGTGACTAAAATGCAAACACATGATGATGACTAAAATAAGAATTCGTAAACGTTGGGTGCCTAAATGTGTATTTTACCGTTAAATAAATACGTCCAACAGTTCACACAGATTAAATTTGTAAAATACCACATCACAGATCGGGCTCTCGCTCTTTCAATCATTCATTGCTCTTACAATGGAGATCATCCAATTTTTCCTGATTTCATCGCTTCTCTTCTCAATCTCTAGGGTTTGTGCTTTCTACCTCTCTTATTTTATTTTCATATAATTTATATCTGATTGTAGTAATTTCTTATAATCGATTCGATTTTTCTTTTTTATTCGGAATTTTTTTACCGCAGGCTGAATCTACTGGATCTGTTATCTTCATCGACAGTTATACTCATTATTTCCTTCGCACTCGATCCTCCAACGATGTCTCTCAGGTGTTTACTCATTGATTCTTGTGTCCTCTAATTCAATTCATTCATCCGTTATTAGGTTTATAGAATTATACTTTTGTGATGATTTTTAACTATTAAGAGATTGTTGATGGTTGATTTTATCTTACCATATTATCTAAAATTGTATAATAATATCTTGAAGTTTAGTAGTATTTTGATTTAGTGACTTAGTTGTATGCTGATGTTTTTCTTTGTATTATATTAGATTTGAATTGTTTAATGTTAAAGATTGGACTGATGACTTGATGTTATTATCATTTTACTTCCATTTTTATATACTTAGATGGACTTCGGATAGCAGGAGAAAGTATTTTCTCCATACTTATATATAAATTGTTTTTCACATCTCTTTCAACAGTCCAAGTCAATGGTGTTACCTGAAGTTGGCGCGGCTGTGTCAGTATTGCTTGGTTTTCCACCACCGTTTACGCTTTCAGCTGCTGGTTCATCTAAGGTCATCATTAGTATTATCAATCCTGAGTAATTAATTTTTTAGTTTTTATATTTCTTGTTTTAGAAGTTTTGATTCAAAGATATTCTATGTATTTTTTGTTTTTTTGCAGCTGAATGAGGTTCTCATTCCCAATCCATTTGATAGACCTCGTGGTGTTTTTATGCTTGAAGTTATTGGAGTTGACGGTACCTTTACTTGTTGTCTAAGTTCTTTATACTCTGTTTTCTTCTCCCCATTCTCCTCTTCAGTGTTTTGGTTAAATAAATTTTATTTGGTCTTCAGATCCTCTTGTTGTTGATCCCCAGAATGGTCTCTTCCACAAAGCCTTGAAGAGTACCGTTGACCTTGGTTCACGTAAAGCGGACATTGAGCTTCCAGGTACCTGACCTTTTATCAAAATGTAAAACTAAGGGACGTAGTCATAACTTTTATTGTGTTTAAGATCTTTTCCTGAATGTATCTATCCATAGTATTTGTTCACTGTGTAAATCTTTCTTTTAGATGAAGAGGAAGTATCTATTATTTCTTTAGACGAGCCTCTAAGAGATTACAGTGAAGAAGAGATCAATGACTTGGTGAGTTTATAACTATTCCCTGATTTAGTCAATATTGCCCTTTTTTTTAATTCTGTTTGATTGTTTATTTGGCTCACACAAGTGACATTGGTTTTATATATGTGTTTAGGCATCTTGGTTGGGTGGATCATATGTCCCTGATGCTACTAAATCTCGGCATGGAGTATTGACAATTCCCGTGGGAAATGGTGACAATGTTAACCTTCATTTGTCAAAGGTCTTATTCAGGAACCTATATATGTCTGTTTTTCCTTTTTGAATTGTTTTTGACTGACACTGTATCATAGTAGCAGTCATGTGCCGTCTTGAATTCTTATTTACCTCACCAAGTGCTTGTGATTTGATTGCTCGCAGGAAGTGCACAGGGAATTTGCATTTAAACTGTTTGCTCTGTTCCACAGTATAATGAAGCAATGTATTTTTATGCTATTGTAATGTCTGTATCTGTACTGCCTTTCGTTTATGTTTGCTTCTTCATCACTTACCCACTTGCCAATCCTCTTAATATTTCCAACTAAAAAAAGTACAGGCTTTGCAGGAGCATCCTGGAGCTGACGGTTTCAATAAGCAAGGAATGAGGCTTCTGTTTGCCACACTTTCCAAGATTTTTGATTCATTGCAGACGGCATACAAAGGTTGGTAAAATATTGAACACTCTATTTTGGAAGGAAGGTCTTCAATTTACTAATTGATTAAGGTTTACCATTTATGTGGAAATCTGTGTGCATATGTGATGGTGATATTATTCACAAAATTTAGGATTAAAGCTTTTCTTCTCGAGTTGCGGCTTCATTTTCCTTTATTTATTCCTCTTCCTTTAATCCCTGGCTGTCAATTTGTTTGAAAACTCTAATTGAGGATTGGGCAGGTCAAATTGTTGGTGTTATTGTCTTTAACGAGGCATCTCAGCCAGAACCAAAAACAATGATGAATGTGATAACTACCTCACGTCCATCTCCGCGTTGGTTGGAAGAAACAAAAGGTTCAACTAACATGACCCTTGCTGCACAAGTTTTGGTTAGAAGAACCCTTGCTTGGATAACTGGAATTGTTCTTCTCATTGCAACTCTCTTGGGGGTAAGATCTATTTTAAATATTAATCAAGTTCGATCCCAGCCTTTACATGGTTCCCAGAGTTTTTGTTTTTAAATATTTCTTGAAATACTAGAGCTCCATATCAAGTCCAATTTCATAAAACTAAATAACCGTAGGCCTTTTAACGAACTTTGGAAGCTCTTTTATTATCTGGTTTTCCATCTAGTGAAAAATTCAGATGTCTTGATCAGATGTGCTAATTTATGTTTTCTTTCTTCCAAGATTCATAAACCATTTCTCCATTCCATCGTACAGCCGAACTGAACTTCGTTTTTTTACTGCTTTGAACTCTGATGATTGATTTCTAACAAGACCTTGTTACTCGTTGGGTTCAGCGGGTGACTGGCTATAGGATCCGGACAAAAAACAATAGGACCCTTCGGGAAAGGGGGGATTTCTTCTTTCTCTAGATTTTCGGTGGTGAAGGCTTTGGCCCATGCCGTCATTGTCCATATAGATCCACATAGTCTTACTGTTTACTGATTAAGGAGTTTTACCAACTGTTCACTTCATTCTGTTAGAATCGTTTACGAGATTGATAATGTTTCCTTTTAACAGTGGTATTGATATATCCATTTTTTCCAATTGCGTTCCATTTTACTACTGCAGCTTTACTTCCTTCTCAATATGCCATTGACGAGGGACACACTTTTGTACTCTAATGTCAAGATCGACTAATCTGAAATAAGGCGGAGTATATCGGAAGCAGCCCGGTATGAATTATCTTTTATTAGTGGGAAATCATCAATGAAGCTATTTTGTTCCTTGGTTATTCGGTGATGTTGGATAGAGTAATCCGGCGAACAAAATGCATATTTTTCCCCCCGCAGGTTAATGTAGCTGCATTAAGCATAAATTTGGGAATTTTCAGTTATCTTATGGCTAAGGGACTGCAAATGAGATAGGAAGATGATTGTATTTAATGTAAATTTTGGTCAATTTATATTCAAACTTCATATTGTGTTTGTTTTCAGAAATTCGGAATAAAGGTAAAGAACATTCCTGCATTACCCATTAACTCTAGGATCTTAGACTTCATTGCTTCATCTCAAGCTGTGTTTGAAGGGTATGGAATATGATGTTCACTTTAGATAATTGCTCCATCGTTGAACTGACCAGGACCTGTTTCACCGATTTGATAATTAGGGTTAATTACAAATTCATCACTCAACTTTTATCTCACTCGTGTATTGGTCATTGAACTTTATAAATTCTCAAATTGACCATTAATTTCGACATTGCTCCGTTGAACGTTAAATTTCAAATTGTATCGGTAAATATGACTCCTTTTCGGATCTCTATAAAAGCCATCAAAACAATGTTGTTGTAAATATATATTAACTTTTTTGTCTTTACTTTTCTTCTTTCTTCTTCTTGAACCAATATAGGTTTTTGGTTATCGCTTGTCGTGGTCGACCATTGCACCGATTGTTGTTTCTACCATTAGTGATTGTCGTCGTCGACGATAGTCAATGAGCCAAAATTTCTCACTAAACTTGAACGTGAATATGATATTCGTTCAATCGAAGAAAATGTCATAAATTTTACGAATTTGTCATCAAACTTTTTGGTTTCTTATTCTTTAATCTTATTCGTGTATCGTTGGATTAAGCCCCAAGAAAAGCCTCTCTGCTGTTTGGATTATCTGACAAAGGTTTAGATCGTCGAAGATCCACCAAAGTCGGAGGTAGATTTTTTTTCAACTTTCTCTTTTTTTCATTACTTTTTTATTTATTTACTATGATTGTTGTTTTTTGTTGTTTTTTTACTATTTTTCTCTTATATTATGAGTAAATTTACATTATATTTTAAAAAGTTACAATCAGATCATTTTATTAATCGATTGTAACAATTAATTCATTTTATCATTATTTAACGAACATTAACTTTTTAGTTACAATAAAATTACTTTATTTACTGATTGTGATGATCAAGTCACTCAAATGTAACTAACAATTAACATTCATTATATATCTAATGATAAAATAACATGATTGTTATAACTGATAAATAGAATTATTCAACTGCGACTTTTTAAAATACAATGACATAATTGTAAATTTATGAAGTGTGATGTCAGTTACTAAAAAGGGTAAACAACACTGATGGTACCTTATATTTTCCGTTTGTTCAATTTTGGTTACCGATTTTAAAAAAGTTTGGTTTTGGTCACTTTTTTGTGTGCACGTTAGTAAAAAATGGTTAAATTTTAACTTGACCCCTGAATTTTGGATAGAATAATAAATTGACCTTAAAATTTACATAAAATACTAATTTAACCCCTTAACTTTATATAAAATATCAATTTGACCATTGAATCCTATCAAAATTCAAGTTGATACCCACCACTCACCGTTGGTTTTCATCAACGATCCCTACCGACTTCTGTCTTCGACGACCAATGCATGAATCTCTTCGTGACAATACAACATGAGAGAAAGAAGTGTGAAATCAGGAAAAGGTGATTCTTCACGTTTGCTGGCTATGGTTGTGACTGTGAAGAAAGATTATCTGTATATGCAACATATTTATAGGTAAATATGTAATAGTAAATTGTTTGTAAATTGTTTGCATGTATCAGTTGTTAGGGATGGACCAAAAGGAGACAGTCGTTCTTATGAAAATTTTAAATTAATATTCTCTTTGTATTTTTTTATTGCTAATATGTTTTCGCCTTCTAAAATTTTTAAAAATTAATCTCCTTAACATTAAATCATGCATACATCCCGTAGGAGTCTTTAGCCTTGCATGCAAATTTCAAAGTCTTTTTGCCGTATTAATATTGCATGAAATTAAAGCCCCACCACTCCGTTTAAGTCAAGCCATAAAGCAGACAAAGATATATAGCAAATTTCCTAAGTGCTTGAGATGGACTGATGAGCACGACAATGGGAGGAAATTTCGATGATACCACACAAGTAGTTCCAATTCCAAAACTACTTCCTTCTCTTTGGAATTGCATGCAAATTTCCAGTCTTTTTCCCCTTCATTACTGCATGCAGGGATGGGCCAAAGGAGGACGGACGGGGCATTCACCCCTCTAAAATTTTCAAATTTTCTTTATATTTTCTAAAATTTTCGGTCTTTCATTTTTTTTAATGAAGTGGATATTAGATTCACGTTTAGAGGTTAAAAAGAAGTTATTAAAAACTTTGGGATCCAACGGTCGTCAATGACGGCAACCGACGGTGACCGACGAAGGTGATGAGTAACGGCCATTGACGTGAACTTTGACTTGATTTAGTGGTCAATTTGATATTTTATATAAAATTTAGGGGTTAAATTAATAATTTATATAAAATTTGAGGTCAAATTAATATTTTATCTAAGAGATCAAATTAATATTTTATCTAAAATTTAGAGATCAAATTAATATTTTGTCTAAAATTTAGAGATCAAGTTAAAATTTAACTATTTTTACTAACGTGCTATACAACAAAATAACGAGAGTTAACATATAAAAACCAAAAGTGGCCAAAACTAAACTTTTTCAAAACCGATAACAAATATCGAAGAAGCCAAAACCATAGAACACTACCAGTGTTGTTTACCCAAAAAAAGTAAACCGTTCAAACTAAGCCGGCTTTGGTAATTAAAAAAAAATCCAAACTTAACAAAGAAGGATTTGGAGCTAATATATCATCAGCCAGAGAAACCGACAAGCACAAAAGAACAAAACCCTACATTAACAATTGTTATTGTTTCATTTTTCGGCATAAATGGATTTCACGAGGATACTACCAGAAGAGTGCCAAGCTCTGATCATATCGTTGACTTCGCCGGAGGACGCTTGCCGGTCGGCCATGGTTTCTCCTTCTTTGAGATCAGTTGCAGACAGCGATGCAGTGTGGGAAAAGTTTTTGCCTTGTGATTATCACTCCATCGTTTCATCATCATCATCATCATCGTTGCTTTCACTGGGGAAGAAGGATCTTTACTTCCATCTATCTTCTCATCTCATCCTCGTCCAAAACGATACCATGGTAAGCCCTAGAGCTTATATGCTCATGCAGAGAGACTATCTTTTAAAATTACAAGGGAGATGAATTTGTAAAATTTTAGGGTCGAAAATAGACTATTAACAAAAAAAAATCTAAAATATATGATAGGTGAAAATTTTAGGAGTACAATTGCCTCTCCCGCTGCCCCTACGATCCATCTATGTGTATGTATATGTATATCTATATCTGCTCTGCAAAGGGTATTCTTGATTCTTGATTCCTGATGATCAAATTGTTTTGAACATGTCATGGAAAATCATTGTTATTCTCGTGAGAATAAGATTTTTGTGGACTTATTTTCAAAAATTAAGGATGTTGGTGTTGAAACAGAGCTTTCAGTTGGAGAAAAGGAGTGGGAAAAAATGGTATATGCTGGGGGCAAGAGCACTTTCCATTATATGGGGAGATACACCTGCCTATTGGATTTGGACATCCCAACCAGATTCTAGGTTTGCTTTTTTATCTTTTTAAATTGATTTAATTATACATTCGGCCCTTAAACTTATACTCTCCTTTCACAATAGCCCTTAGGCTTTGCTTGGTATGGTGGAAAAAATTGAAGAAAGGAAAATTAAACGGGTAGAAAAAGTGAACGGATAAAAGTCATTATTTTTTTTATATTGGTGTGCTTGGTAGGATGGATGGAAAATATGATGGGTAAACTATGCGTTTAGTATTTAAACTATCAGTTTTTTTCGTTTTAGTACCTAAACTTCTAATTTTTTAAACCATCCCTAACATTTAGTTTTTGTTTCATTTTAGTACTCCCATTAAAAATTTAAATTTAAATTTTTTTTTTGAAAGTTTAGGTACTAAAATGGATCAAAACTGATAGTTTAGGCACTAAACTCGTTACATTTTAACGATGGATATTAAAATGAAATAAAAACTAAATTTTAGGTATAATTTTTAAAAAAATAGAAATTTAGATACTAAAACATATAACAATTGATAGTTTAGATACTAAACGTGTAATTTATCCAAAATTAAAAGAGAATACAATTTTATTTCCATCTCATTTTCTTTTGGGAAAACTGCACATTTAGCACCCTAACTATTACTTTTGTTTTGTTTTGATTATCTAACTATTTTTCTTCTTTAAAATCATACATAACATTTAGTTTTAGTTTTATTTTGATCATCCGTCGTTAAAAAATTAATGATGGTGTTGACTGATCACCATAAAATAATACAACTTCATCATTAAAAGAAATAGAAAATCTCATGTCAGTAGTTTTGTTAATTTTTTAAAGACGGGTGAGCAAAATAAAACAAAAAAAAATCGTTAGATATGATTTTGAAAAAATATAGTTGAGTGACTAAAATGGAAAAAAATGATAGTTTGGTACTAAACGTATTGACAGGTTCCCCGAAGTTGCCGAGCTCAAACTAGTATGGTGGCTTGACGTGAAGGGAAAGATCGAGACCCGAATTTTATCTCCCAACACAAACTACGCAATATACCTTGTGTTTCGACTAAGATATCGTCATACAAGCGGGTTTAGAAGAAGAACCGTAGGTTTAAATGTGAATATCGACGGAATGATCCCGATGGGAGCGCGGAGGGTGTCGTTGGACTCACGAGATGAACCCCAACATCTGAGAGAGAGAGGAGATGAGTGGATGGAGGTTGAAATGGGTGAGTTTTGGAATGAATGTGGTGATGGTGGAAGTGTGGAGTTTTGTCTTAAGGAGATTGATACAAATTTCCATAAGCGAGGCCTCATTATTGAAGGAATTGAGATTAGGCCTAAAGACATCGTTCCTTCTTCATAATTTTTGTATGTTTAAATAATTAAATTATATAGAATTTAACACATTACTAATTTATTTTTTTATCATGTTTATATTATATAAATGTATATTTGTTATCTATATTTTAAAAATATGAGGTGATTACGATATAGTACTTATTCAAAATTTTCTTAGCCAATTGATAACGCACAAACACCTCTAAGAAGAATAAAACTATCTTTTATTACTGAGACAATTTAATGATTTATGTTATCTAAAAATTAATAATTACATGATTATCATATATTATATAAAAATTTTAATTCGTTTTCAATATGATAACCGTCGTTAAAACAACAAAACAATAGGCACTTATGCCCATTGTTTAACAACTTTAGGCCTAAGCTCAATTCCTTCAATAATGAGGCCTCGCTTAGGGTAACCTGTGTCAATCTGCTTAAGAATGAACTCCACAGTTCCACCATCATCACTTTCATTAAAAAAACTCACCCATTTCGGCCTCCATCCACCCGTCTCCTCTCTCTCGAACATGTTAGGACTCGTCGCCCGGGTACGACAGTACGACACCCTCCGCTCTTCCCTTGAAGCGACTCCGTCGACATTGACATTTAAACCAACAGGTCTTTGCCTAAACCCGATTATATGCCTGATATCTAAGATTAAACACAAGGTATACCACATAGTTTGTGTTGGGAGATAAAACTCGGGTCTCGATCTTTCCCTTCACATCGATCCACCACACTTGTACGAGCTCAGCAACTTCAAGAAACAGAGGGAATTCATGAAGTTGAAGTAAATAAAATAAAAGACGTCAAAATTAGCTCACACCACTTATTAAAATGGTTAATTTGACACTTATTTTTTTTCTGAGTATTTTGATCTTTTCATTTTAGGATAAAAATATTCCTCTATAGGTATAAATCATTAAAACTGGTTAATTAACACTCTAAAATATAAACAATTTACTATAAAATGAAATATTAAGAGCTAAAATATTAAAAAAAATAACGGTCAAAATGACTATTCATTTAAATCAAACCTAGATTCTGGAAGAGATGTCAAAGTCTAATTGAAAGTGCTCTGTTTACACACCACTTACCTTAATTTTATTTATGAAATTGGAGCTAAACATCACACTACTTCGTTCATTTGTTATTTATTTTATCGATAGTGATATATGCATTTTCATTCTTAAAAATATTTTTTTAGATCCGTGGCTGGATGTACATGTATGATAGGAAATTAACTATACGAAGTACAGCTTTGGGGCTTACCATGGTACCATTTTGAATGAGGATGGGATGAGAGTAAAGATCCTTCTTCCCCATTGAAAGCAACGAAGATGATAATGAAACGATGGAGTTATAATCACAAGGCAAGAACTTTTCCCACACTGCATCACTGTCCGCAACTGATCTCAAAGAAGGAAAAATCATCGTCGACCGGCAAACATCCGCCGGCGAAGTCAACGATATGATCAGAGACTGGCACTCTTGTGGCAGTATCCTTGTGAAATCCATTTATGCCGGAAAATGAGTTTATTCCTTTTTGTGGCTCGTTTGCTGATGTAGTTAAATCTATTCATATTTATCTCTTGTTTGAGTTTATTCGGTTAGGTTTTTTTAACATTTTCCTTGTATGATCCTTATGCGATCTTAAGTGGCTAGTTTTCTTGTGTTTGGAAAAATATTCTTATTATATGTTTAGTTTGCGGTTGTAGTTGTAAAACTTCATCATAATTTAGTTATTTTTTATTTTTAATAAAATTAGCGTCTTCTATAAAAAACAACAATTATATTGGCGAAAGTCTAAAAAAATTAACTTAATTTAAGGTTAAAAATAACGTAAATAGGTTAAAAATTAACTTAATATTATTCAAATGAAGTCGACATTCTTGTCAAAATTTTCAAGATCGATTATTTTCATGATAAAATATGAAATCAATTAAATTAGGTTAAAATTGAGATAGGGTAGAAGTTAGAGATAACAAAAATCAATTCCACCCCGTACAATTACGTACCATTTATAGTCTGTGTTGGTTTTATTGATATATAAATATAAATATTATATATAAAACATTAAATAAATATATTCAAACCGAGTTAAATTAAACTTGAAATTTAAAAATTCTTTCTGAAATTTGACTAATTATTTTTATTTAAACCTATTTTTTAAAAATTTTACAAAAATATCAGGCCCAGGAATAAATCTACATCTCAAAACCACATGAAATATAAATGAAATTGAAAGGCTAAGCTTAAAGCAAGGGAGTAAACATCTCTCCGCCACTAAGGAAAACACACACGAAAAACTAAAACAAAATTTTAAACCATTCAAGCAGTCAACAAAATTCCTTAAACAAACAGTAAAAACATTGTTTAAAACCTTAATCCCATGTTCCATTCCAACATTAAAATAACAATAAAAAGTGCATTTTTGCACATTAGAAAAAATAATAATGCTTTGTTTAGCTGCTCAAAGCTAATCAAAGCAACCACAAATAATGGCCACATCCAAAAATAAGAAATCAACCAACACTCCCCAATCGCCCCAAGGAGTAAAATTTACCCGCAGGACAGCAAGTGGTCGTATCGTGAGCTTGTCCAGGGACGACGACGTCGATATGTCCGGTGATCAGTCGAGCCAGAACGATTACATAAATTACACCGTTATGATGCCACCTACGCCTGATAACCAACCGTCAACGGGCTCTCAAGGTGGCGGCAATGATGGTTCGAAAGCGGATAAAAGGGTGTCAGTGATGAAATCGGTGAACAATAAGTCCATGTTGTTAAGGAGCCAGACGGGTGATTTTGATCATAATCGTTGGTTGTTTGAGTCGAAGGCCAAGTATGGGATCGGTAGTGCGTTTTGGCAAGACAACGATGATCAATACGGTACCAATGGGGGTGTGACAATGTCGGATTTCATGGATAAGCCGTGGAAGCCATTAACGAGGAAGATCCCGATTAAGTCTAGTATTCTTAGCCCTTATAGGTTTTTGATATTGCTACGTTTGATTATTCTATTTTTCTTCCTTAGTTGGCGCTGGCGTAACCCAAACCCTGATGCGATGTGGCTGTGGGGCATTTCATGTGTGTGCGAGTCGTGGTTCGCATTCTCTTGGCTATTGGACAGTCTTCCAAAGTTGAATCCTATCAATCGGTCAACTGATCTCGTCGCGCTACATGAGAAATTCGAGCAGGTCTCGCCATCGAATCCGACCGGTCGATCGGATCTTCCTGGTGTTGATGTGTTTGTCTCAACGGCCGATCCCGACAAGGAGCCTCCACTCGTCACTGCCAACACCATCCTATCCATCATGGCTGCTAATTACCCTGTTGAGAAACTCTCTGCCTATATTTCAGATGATGGTGGTGCCATCCTTACATTTGAGGCCATGGCCGAGGCTGTCCGTTTTGCTGAGGTGTGGGTACCGTTTTGTCGGAAACACGACATTGAACCTAGGAACCCCGACAGCTATTTCAACTTGAAAACCGATCCGACAAAGAACAAGAAACGACCTGATTTCGTGAAGGATCGACGGTGGATAAAGAGAGAGTACGACGAGTTCAAGGTAAGGATCAATGGTCTTCCGGAGACTATACGTAAAAGATGTGACATCCACAACAAGAGAGAGGCAATAAAGGAGAAAAGTCTTGCCAAAGAAAAGAACGGCGGGTCGTTGCCACCGGATTTTCAAGTCGAGAAGGCGACATGGATGGCCGACGGAACACATTGGCCGGGGACATGGCTCAGTCCAATTGCCGACCATTCCAAAGGCGACCATGCCGGAATCTTACAGGTAAATTTAACGATCAAAACAAAGATTAATTTTATCATGATCGATAGATGATAATTTAATTATCAAATTTGCCATAGGTGATGAGTAAATTCCCAGAACCAGATCCAGTGATGGGTTACCCAGATGAGAAAAAACTAGACTTCTCAGGGGTTGACATAAGGCTGCCCATGTTCGCCTATGTTTCAAGGGAGAAACGTCCAGGTTTTGACCACAACAAGAAGGCTGGAGCCATGAATGGCATGGTTAGAGCTTCTGCAATATTGTCCAATGGACCCTTTATACTCAACTTGGATTGTGACCATTACTTCTATAATTCCATGGCCATCAAGGAAGGGATTTGCTTCATGATGGATCGCGGCGGCGATCGGATTTGTTACATTCAGTTCCCACAACGATTCGAAGGGATCGATCCATCGGATCGATATGCCAATCATAACACCGTCTTCTTTGATGGTATTGTCTTGTTATATTCTATTTAAATCTAACTGAGAAACTCTAATGATTCGAATCATTTTTTATGACAACAGGAAGTATGAGAGCCCTTGACGGTCTTCAAGGGCCGGTGTACGTCGGAACTGGATGTATGTTCCGACGTTATGCACTCTATGGATTCCATCCACCGAGAGCGAACGAGTATACAGGTGTGTTCGGACAGAATAAGTCACCGGTTGATAATATTCAAACAAAGCCTGGGCCGGTAGATGATGAGTCACAGCCCTTAAATGTGCATCCGGACTTGGACGTTCCGAAGAGATTCGGCGAGTCAATATTGTTCACCGAGAGCATACCCGTGGCGGAGTACCAAGGACGTCCTCTTGCTGATCACATGTCGGTAAAGAATGGTCGACCACCCGGTGCATTGCTGACACCTCGACAACCGCTTGACGCTCCCACGGTTGCCGAGGCCGTCGCTGTCATTTCCTGTTGGTACGAAGATAACACTGATTGGGGTGGCAAAATAGGTTGGATTTACGGTTCTGTCACAGAGGATGTGGTGACGGGTTATAGAATGCACAATCGTGGATGGCGGTCGGTATATTGCGTCACGAAACGCGATGCATTCAGAGGAACTGCACCGATCAACCTCACTGATAGGCTTCACCAAGTGTTGAGATGGGCCACGGGTTCGGTCGAAATCTTTTTTTCAAGGAACAATCCATTATTTGCAACTCGACGGCTCAAATTCCTACAACGAATTGCATATCTAAACGTCGGATTCTACCCTTTCACCTCCATTTTCTTGGTCATTTACTGCTTCTTGCCGGCGCTTTCCCTCTTCTCCGGCCAGTTCATTGTCCAAGGCCTGAATATCTCATTCCTTATGTATCTCCTCGTCATCACTTTAACCCTTTGTTGTATTTCAATTCTTGAAGTGCGGTGGTCTGGTATCAGCCTCGAGGAATTTTGGAGGAACGAACAATTCTGGGTCATCGGCGGCTCGAGTGCTCACTTAGTTGCCGTCATCCAAGGTCTCCTCAAAGTCTTCGCCGGCATCGAAATCTCCTTCACATTGACATCCAAATCAGCCGGAGAAGACGAAGACGACATCTACGCCGAGCTTTACCTCGTCAAATGGACCAGTCTCTTCATAGTTCCATTAACGATCATAATCGTGACACTACTCGCCATCGTGATCGGAGTGTCGAGAACCATATACTCCGTCATACCGCAATGGACTCAACTGTTCGGAGGATTGTTCTTCGCATTCTGGGTTTTGTGCCATATGTACCCGTTCGTTAAAGGGTTAATGGGACGACGAGGAAGAGTGCCGACGATCATATACGTCTGGGCTGGCCTTTTGTCCATTGTCATATCTTTGCTTTACGTGACGATCAGTCCACCAGATGGAGTCAACCAAAATGGACTAGATCTCAATTCCAATTGGTAAAAATGGATGGAAGAATAAAATTATGGCCTTTTGCAACTTTATTTTAATGTTTATATTGTTAATTGTCGACTGGATCAACGTTGAATGTACGAGAACCAGTGTTAGCTTCGAGCTTCAACAATGGCGGACATTGTACATTTTTTTCTTTTACATTTTTGGTAAATGTTAAGGGCGACAAATATCAATGTGTTTAGCATTGGAAAACCCCTTTTTGATATCAATGTGTAATTTGGAAAGCGAGTTATAGATTCTTTTGTAATGGTAAATGATATTTATTCAAATAAATAAATAAATAAATAATTTTGCATGCAAATTTTGGTATATAAAAGGATTGTAAATGAATTAAATTTAAATGAATAAATTCATGTTATTATTCATTTATTTATTTTTAAGTTTATTAATGTCTGATTTATGCTTTTAAAAATTTTAAAATTATATAATTATGTTTATTTATTTGAAATTATGTATAATTGTGTTCGTTTAATGTCTATAAGCTCAAAACAAATATATACACCAACATATTTTTAAACATATTTAAATGAACAAAACATAAATGAACACATTTAATTTTTTTTAAATATAAATAATTAAATATAAATATAAATATAATATGATTGTATTATAAATACATAAATAAACATAAATAAGTTTTAATTATTTTAATAGAAAACATATTAACCTTAAATATGCAAACTAAAACTCCATGTGAATACATAAATGAGTTTATTTGTGAACATAAATAAATAAAGTGTATCTCTACTTAAAATGGTTCATTTAATAAATGAACATATTTTTTCATTCATGTTTGTTTATTTAAACTTAATAAATATATATTAGGTATAATACTAAAATTAGCCTCTAATGTTTACCAAAATGATTATTTTTGTCTCTATTTTTTCGGAGCATTTGGCCCAGGTGTTTCATTTGGGGGATATCCCCTAAAGTCTAATTAAATATCCCGGTGTTTACATTACGATGTCAAACCACTGCTTGAAATATTATGCCATCGAGTAAGTGCTTGAAAGCAATGGCGATGCTAGAAGCTATCATTAAAATATAATTTTATCATATCTCAGACAACATGTTAAAGTATAGCTCAGACGACCGTCAATTTTTTTAACAAAATGGATGAGTTAAGAACATATGAATAGTCGGGTGACCATTTTATAAATTTTAATAGTTAGGGTACTCAACAAAATAACGTCTTATAATCGATGGATTATTTTATAACTTTTAATAATTAGGGACTCAATAGAGTAACGCTCTATAATCGAGGGTCATTTGTATACTTTACCATTAGAGATAACATAGAGTTTAAGCATTTTATAAAAAAAAAATTAAATGATTGTTCTCAACAATCAACATTTTCAATTCAAAAATAATTTAATAATAGTTTCTAACTGATTCAAAGCTTGATTTGCTTAAATATAATAATAAGGACTTTGGGACATGTGAACATGTTGAAAAGAATATATGAACAACAAAAGTGCCATTTATAAAGTACACATCATTTATGATGGGAGATGGTTTAAGGTGTAACTTGAGTTAGATAAAATATTTTACAAAAAAATATTTTAGAATATCATTTAATTTTTATAAAAGTATTATTTTAAATTTTTAATTGAGTTGATGTTTGATAAATTTGTGATATTATTCAGACATAATATAAAATAAAGATATTAAATTATTGATATTATAAAAATAAAGATATTGAATAATGTTAAACTAAAGTATAATGATTAAATTAAAATTTGAGCATAATAAAGGGACTGAAACTACAATTTGACCAACAAATTGAACCACATAACTTGATTTAATGGCAATGAGGAGTTCTTAACAACTGTGACCTCTTGAGTTCAAATTACTCCATATTGAAATTTGGTCTAAAATACATCATTATACTTATACATTTTAGATTTTAATACGATTTTACGAATATGAATATATTTTAATTATATTAAAAATTTTAAAGATTTATTTATTTCATAGAGGTGATTTTTGAAGAATTATGAATTTATAGTTGAAAAGGGAAAATCCAAGATTATTTTCTTAATCAATTGACAACGTACGCATTATGCAGACGTAGCTGCTTAAACCCATGACCCAGACTCGTTTTTGAAAATTTTGGTAGTCTTAATGCGAACATGGAAACAAAACCTCCAATAACAAGTATTGAAACAACTGAATTGTAAGAGTAAGAAAAATAAATTAATTTGCTTCTAAATATATTTTTGTTATTACGTTAACAAACTCTCTAACAAATACAATAAATGTTAAATATAAAATATCAAAAAAATTTTGTTAAATGCCTAACTATTCACACAAAATAAGCATAAAAGAGGGTCAAGATTCGATTTTAGTCATTTTCTTCTTGTCAAAAAATAATAAATGAATAATTACATGAAAATTGAAAAATAATTAAACAATTTCACATAAGCATCACCATTAATTAATGGTGTGTGGGCAAAATAGTAATAAAACATGAAATAAGAATGATTTTGAAAAAAAAAGTTTACAACAAAAAAAAATGAAGTAAATAATTAGTTGACTAAACAAGTAATTTATATTCTTTTTAATTATATGTGGACGGAATTTGAGCGATTGACATGTATAGTGATAGTGATCGAAACATAAAGTTTCAAACTTTATTGATCAAAATGAAACTTAATTTTGAACAACATTGTATAGTTTACCCGAAAAGATTTTGAAAACAAACAAAAATAATTAAAAAAAAAAAAAAACCGCGTGATTGTTCACCTTACGACCAACCCAAAATTCTCCCACCATTTCAAGGTAATATCTCTTCTCCTCTCTCTTTCTAGATGATTTTTTTTTGGTTCAATAGATGAATTTAATAATACAAACAAACAAGTATCCTACGTGTTTATGTGTATGTGTGTGTGTGTATGTGTATATATGTATGTATATATATATATAATATTTGCATCAAATCCAGCATCTGTTTCATTTTCCTATATCTGCTCCGATCTCATCGCCCTCTCCTTCTCTTAGACTTTTGCCGATTGAATCAGTTGTTTGTGAAGGTTCAGGGTTTTTGAAGAGATGGGACAACAGTCTTTGATCTACAGCTTCGTGGCACGCGGAACTGTGATCCTCGCCGAGTACACTGATTTCACCGGTAATTTCACCACTATCGCTGCTCAATGTCTCCAGAAACTCCCGGCTTCCGATAACAAGTTCACCTATAACTGCGATGGCCATACCTTCAATTACCTCGTTGAAAATGGATTCAGTAAGAACTTTTTTTTGTTTGCTTGCGATTTTGCGATCTTGATCTTTTATTTTTTAAAGTTGGTTGACCTTTTTTTGAAATCTGATTGTTTGCTTAATGATTCGAATGTGTTAATCGGCTTGTGATCCGTTTTGTTGTTTACTTGTTTGTTTGGCTTTTATTTATGTGTTTATTATTATTGTCTTGTGTTGGATCTGGGCTTAGTTTTGATTTGCTAGGTGTTTTTGTATGGATTTGATGTTTTCATATCTTAGTTTTGTACAATGTTTTGTTTGGTCAAAGCGGAGGGGATGAGATTTAATTTGAACATTTTGATTGTGTATAAATGATGCGTTGGATTCCATTTTTACGAATTTTTCTACTTTGATTTTCTTGATTTTTAACTCATGTTATATGTTCATATCCTTATGTAACTCTTGTTTGTTTATCTGTTTATCCATCTTGTGATGCATCAATTAGAAGAAGCAAAGATATATTACTTGAAACCATTAATTGTATTCGTGAATTTTCCTTACAAAGAAGGTTTTTTGGGTGTGACAGAGGGCTAATGATGTTTTCTTATATTACTGTTTAATTATCAATGATGTTTTGATTGGATGTATAAAATATAATTAAGAATATAAATAATTGTGTTAATGACGGACTTATATTCTTCTTTAGAAGTCTTCCATTTCCTTTTTAGATAAGCAAATGGATGTAATATCCAGTGAGGGTGCATTAATTGGATGAGTCTAAAACGTTATCTGGTTATTGTAACATTGTTTAAAGGTTCGCATAATTTACTATTCGCAAGATTTGGTACTGATTTTATGTGCCTTCCCCCAGCTAGTTGCATGTCCTATTGAACTCTTTCCGTCCTCTGTTAACGTCTTTGTGGATGCATGTTCTCTGCATCTGGGTTCTATGCTGGTGGTACCAAATGAATGCTTAATGTATAGAAAGTAAAGAACAATGTTGGGAAGCAAAGGAATCTTGTGAAGGGATAATCAGTAACAAACAAGGAAAAAGAAAAAGAGAAATCCTAGTTACACATTTTAAGTTAGCGTATACTGTCATGATCAGCCTTTAAATCAAAGATTCTCTCCCTCTAATCATACCCATCAATGGGGCATATCCATGTAACTCCCATTTATACATTGCAGCTGGCTGTGTCTTTTAGCTGCTATTTGGGTGCTAGAATGTTCATATTGATATTGAAGCTGTAGGTTATATGCATCATGGTGCCTTCATAGAGAGTACCAGAGAGATTCCTTTTCCAAACTTGATGGTTTCAGTCATATATCTACTTGCTGACTTCTAGTATGATTTTGGTGCTACAGCATACTGTGTAGTTGCTGTTGAATCTCTTGGCAGGCAAGTTCCAATTGCTTTTCTGGAAAGAGTGAAGGAAGACTTCAACAAGAGATATGGAGGAGGGAAGGCAGCAACTGCTACGGCCAAAAGCCTGAATAAAGAATTTGGGTATCCAGCTCTCTATACTTCTTCTCATAGATTTATTTTCTGACTTCTTGGAAATATTCTTAGCTTTTTTATACATGATAGGTCCAAATTGAAGGAGCATATGCAGTACTGTGTGGACCATCCTGAAGAGATCAGCAAACTTGCTAAAGTGAAAGCTCAAGTTTCTGAAGTCAAGGGTGTCATGATGGAAAACATCGAGAAGGTAATAAATTGCTGCTAGTTCCATTACTGTTCTAGGTGTAGTTAGAGGGTTAAGACACGGCAAGATGCATAACCATCTTTTCCAACCTTCAAGGAATGACAAACAAAAGAGAGTGAAACTTCAGATACATTGGTTGTAGCATGTTGTTTTCTTTCGTTAGTAACACTTTTCTTTGACCAGGTCCTTGATCGTGGTGAGAAGATTGAGTTGCTTGTGGATAAAACTGAGAACCTTCGCTCACAGGTTAGTCCCATTCGAACTGCATCTTATTTTGATACACCATATAATGCATTAAATGCGAATAAAATATAAAATGCAAAAATTACGATATG